GGTTAATATCGTCAGCACTATTTGAACGGAATCCAGGGGGTTAATATCATCAACACTATTTCAATCACATCCAGGAGGTTCATGTCATGAACACTATTTGCATGGTATCCAGGGTGTTAATATGATCTACGCTATTTGAACAGCATCTGGGGGGTTAATATCATGAAAACTATTTGAACGCAATCCAGGGGGTTCATATCATCTACACTATTTGAATGGAATCCTCGTGTTAATATCGCCAACACTATTTGAACGGCAACAAGGGAGGTAATATCATTCACACTATTTGAATGGCATCCAGAGGGTTAATATCAACAACAGTCTTTGAACGGACCCGGGGGATTGATATGATCAGCACTACTTGAACGGCATCCAGGGTGTAAATATAATCAACACCACTTGACCAGCATCCAGGGGTTGAATATCATCAACACTATTTGAAGGGTATCCAGGGGTCAATATCATCAACACTACTTGAACGGCATCCAGGGTGTTAATATCATCAACACTATTTGAACGGTATCCAGGAGGTTGATATCAACACTATTTGAACGACATCCAGAGGTTTAATATCATCAACACTATTTGAACGGCATCCAGGTAGTTAATATCATCAACATTATTTGAACGTCATCCAGGGTGTTAATATCATCAGCACTATTTGAACTGCATCCAGGATGTTAATATTATCAACACTATTTGAACGTCATGCAGAGTGTTAATATCATAAACCATTTTTGAACGGTATCTTATGGGTTAATATCATGAACACTATTTGAAATGTATCCAGTGGATTAAATATCAACTCCACTATTTGAACGGTATGGAGGGGTTTAATATCAACACTATTTGAAGGGTATTCAGGTGGTTAATATCATCAAAACAACTTGAATGGTATCTAAGGTGTTAATATCATCAAAACAACTTGAATGGTATCTAAGGTGTTAATATCATCAAAACTATTTGAACGGTATCCAGGGGCTTAATATCATGAACACTATTTGAACGGAATCGAGCGGGTTAAAATCATCAACACTATTTGAACGGAATCTGGGGAGTTAATATCATCAACACTATTTGAAATGCATCCAGGGGGTTAATATCATCAAGATTATTTGAACGGCATCCAGGGTGTTGATATGATCAACATTATTTGAACTGCATCAAGGGGGTTAATATTATGAACACTATTTGAACGGCATCCAGGGTGTTAATATCATGAACACTATTTGAACGGGATCCAGAGGTTAATATCATGAACACTATTTGAAGTGCATCCAGGGGGTTAATATCATGAGCACTATTTAAAGGGTATCCAGTGGTTAATATCATCAACACTATTTGAACGGCATCCAGGGGGTTAACATGATCAACACTATTTGAATGGTCTCCAGGGTGTTAATATCATCAACACTATTTGAACGGCTTCCAGGGGGTTAATATCATGAACACTCTTGAACGGCATCCAGGGTGTTAATATCATCAACACTATTTGAACGGCATCCAGGGGGTTAATATCATCAACACTACTTGAGGAGCATCCAGGGAGTGAATATCACCAACACTATTTGAACGGCATCCAGTGGGTTAATATCATCATCAATATTTGAACGGTATCCAAGGGGTTAATATCATCAACACTATTTGAACGGAATCGAGTGGGTTAAAATCATCAAGACTATTTGAACGGCATCCATGGGGTTAATATCATCATCATTTTTTGAAAGGCATGGATGGGGATAATATCATCAACACTATCTGAACGGTATCCAGGTGATTAATATCAAGAAGACTACTTGTACGGCATCCAGGGTGTTAATATCTTCAACACTATTTGAACGGTATCCAGGGGGTTAATATCAACACTATTTAAAGAGCATCCGGGGGGTTAATATCATGAACACTATTTGAACGGTATCCAGGGTGTGAATATCTACACTATTTGAACAGCATCCAGTGGGTTAATAACATCATCACTATTTAAACGGTATCCAGGGTGTTAATATCATCAACAGTATTTGAACGGAATCGAGTGGGTTAAAATCATCAACACTATTTGAACGGCATCCATGGGGTTAATATCATCAACACTATTTGAACGGCATGCAGCGGGATAATATCATCAACACTATCTGAACGGTATCGAGGGGATTAATATCATCAAAACTACTTGAACGGCATCCAGGGTGTTAATATCATCAACACTATTTGAACGGCATCCCCGTGGGTTAATATCATCATCATTATTTGAAGGGCATGGATGGGGATAATATCATCAACACTATGTGAACGGTATCCAGGTGATTAATATCAGGAAGACTACTTGTACGGCATCCAGGGTGTTAATATCATCAACACTATTTGAACGGTATCCAGAGGGTTAATATCAACACTATATGAACAGCATCCGGGGGGTTAATATCATGAACACTATTTGAACGGTATCCTTGGTGTTAATATTATTAACACTATTTGAACGGAATCGAGTGGGTTAAAATCATCAACACTACTTGAACGTCATCCAGGGTGTTAATATCAACACTATTTGAACTGCATTCAGTGTGTTAATATCATCAAGAGTGTTTGAACGGTATCCAGGGGGTTAATGTCATCAACACTATTTGAATGGCATCCAGGGTGTTAATATCATCAACACTATTTGAACAATATCCGGGAGGTTAATATGAACGCTATTTGAACGGCATCCATGGGGTTTATATCTTCAAAACATTTTGATCGGCATCCAAAGGGTGAATATCATCAACACTATTTGAACGGCATCCAGGGGGTTAATATCATCAACACCATTTGAACGGCATCCAGGGGGTTAATATAATTAACTCTATTTGAACGGTATCCAGGGGGTTAATATCATCAGCACTACTTGAACGGCATCTAGGGGGTTAATATCTTCAACACTACTTGAACGGTATCCAGGGTGTTAATATAATCAACACTATTTGAATGGCATCCAGGGTGTTCATATCAACACTACTTGAACGGTATCCAGGGGGTTAATATCATCAACACTATTTGAACGGCATCTAGGGGATTAATATCATCAACACTATCTGAACGGGATCCAAGGTGTTAAAATCATCAACACTATTTGTACGCCATCCAGGGGGTTAATGTCATCAACACTATTTGAACGGCATCCAGTGTGTTAATATCATCAACACTATTTGAACAATATCCGGGATGTTAATATGAACGCTATTTGAACGGCATCCATGGGGTTAATATCTTCAAAACATTTTGAACGGCATCAAGAGGGTTAATATCATCAACACTATTTGAACGGCATCCAGGGGGTTAATATCATCAACACTATCTGAACGGCATCCAGGGGGTTAATATCATCAACACTATTTGAACGGCATCCAGAGTGTTCATATGAACACTACTTGAACGGCATCCAGGGGGTTAATATCATCAACACTATTTGAACGGCATCTAGGGGGTTAATATCATCAACACTATCTGAACGGCATCCAGGGGGTTAATATCATCAACACTATTTGAACAGCATCCAGGGTGTTCATATGAACACTACTTGAACGGCATCCAGGGGGTTAATATCATCAACACTATTTGAACGGCATCTAGGGGGTTAATATCATCAACACTATCTGAACGGCATCCAAGGTGTTAATATCATCAACACTATTTGAACGGCATACAGTGGGTTAATATCAGGGTTAAGACCATCAGTCATTTGGTATTTAAATATGTGAAGAATTCAGGGATGTGTGTGCTGCAGCTGAGTGTTAAACATGTGCGAGGTAATTGCCGTTTCATGAAGACCTTACGTGAAATGGGATTTTGTAAACACTGTCAAATAGGGGCGGTGGGGTAGCCCAGTGGTTGAAGCGTTCGCTCGTCACGCCGAAGACCCGGGTTTGATTCCCTACATGGGTACAATGTGTGAAGCCAATTTCTGGTGTTCCCCGTCGTGATATTGCTGGAATATTGCTAAAAGCGGCGTACAACTAAGCTAAGTCACTGACTCACCCTTTCACTATCAAATATAGGTAATCCCAAGGTTATAGGCGAGGTTCCAGCACAGTCATTGGCGACTTGACAAAAAACACATCCCACTGATCCCTTATTGGCTATTTTTCAAATTCAGTTCAACGGGTAAATACCTGATATTTACATTTACAGCATACAGTAAACGATGCCGCGAAAAGCGAAATCGTCATGTGTCAAAAATGGCCAGATTTACGATGTACATAATTCTTACTGGTCATTTCAGTAATTGTTGTTTACCTAAAAAACAGTATGTTAGATCAAGAAACAGTGAACTGGGGGAGATATTTTTCCTTCTGGCATCCAGGGATATGTAAAGCTGAGATGATTTTGGTGATGATTGTTTTCAGTTTGATTTTGTATAGCGAGTGTTTAGTCAATGTAGAATGGGTACATTTCCCTGGGGCACCAACAGGGTTAAATCTGTCCTATCTGGCTGAAAAGGCGGCCGGGCACCTCAGTGTATATCTGTGACGTCCCAGCAGTGTGACGTCACTGTCAGTGTAGAAATGGCGCCACGTCAACAGGGTGAACCTCGGCTCAGTCTGAGGTCACAGAGTGCAGGCGACATGTAAACAAACAGTTTGTTGTTGTCGGTTTCACAATTTGCGATATCCCCAGAACAAAATTAACACAGAATAATGTTAAGACGGGCGACGTTTACGTACAGTCACACACCGTTTATATTTACACTCACTTCACAATTTTCTTACCTGATCCTACGAGGCTCCAAACACAACAAATGACAAAATGTCTGAAAATACATTCAACAGATTTTATTTATATTCAGGAAGAAAAAATTGTGAACAAGACTGAACAGCGCACACCCCGTCAGTGTCAGCAACGACATGTGCCCCGTCTCTGTCCACACCGACACCAACTTCAGTGTCCACCACGTGACTCCAGGAACTCCACCACTTTCGCTGATGTCCCCAGACTCTCGCCCTGTCGGCGCTGTTTCCCGTCGTTGTTCCTGGCGTTGTCCACCACCGTTCATGGACACGCGATCAGCTTCATGGTCTCCAGGTCTCCACCATCACAGGCCCAGTGAAGGATGTTGTTACCGAACCCGTCCACCAGCGACACATTAGCCCTTCTACACACCAGAAACTCCACCACATCGCTGTGTCCATTATATGCTGCCACCATAACCGGTGTCGTGCTGTACTCTCCTCTACTGTTGATGTCCACCACGTTCATGGACACGATCAGCTTCACTGTCTCCAGGTCTCCACCATAACAGGTCGAGTGAAGGACGTTGTTACCGTCCCTGTCCACCAACGACACATTAACCCCTCTTCCCACCAGGAACTCCACCACATCACTGTGTCCCCTCCGTGCTGCCGCCATCACCGGTGTCCTGCTCCTCCATCCTCTACTGTTGATGTCCACCACGTTCATGGACACGATCAGCTTCACGATCTCCAGGTCTCCACCATCACAGGCCGAGTGAAGGACGTTGTTACCGTCCCTGTCCACCAGTGACACATCAGCCCCTCTACCCACCAGGAACTCCACCACATCGCTGTGTCCCCTCCATGCTGCCACCATCACCGGTGTCAGGCTGTTCCATCCTCTCGTGTTGATTTCCACGGGACCCGCTGACAGTATCCGCTTCACTGTCTCCAGGTCACCGGCCTTGCTGGCGGAGTAGAGGCGGCGGTCTGCTGCTGGTGATGGAGTCGCTGCAACACAAAGTAAACATCAGACATCTGTGTCCCACATCTACAATGTTTTCATCATGTTGATAGGTGACTCGGACATTGCTACATCGTTTAAACAATTCCATAATGGCTGACAACAATACAACATGGCGGGAATGTCAACTTGTGGTTGCTGGGATAAACGATGGTGTGTTTAATACAGAACTTTCTGTTAGAACCAGAAGTTGTAGCAATATTTTGTGTTCGGCCGGAGAGTGTTGATGTTTGTTGAACTTTACAAGTGGATAATGACAGTACAACTGTTGTTTGGTATTAAGGGTAATAAGATATAACGTTGGTTTATGTCACAGTGTTTTGGTTGGTGTTTGACGCCACACTCAGCAGTATTCCAGCTGTCTGATGGCGACCTCAGCATAATTATCTGGTCCATGGAATCCTGTGACCGACAACATGAACGTCGATCGACACCACTATTCTTCGTGTCTGCTGGGTTTTCCGACCTACCGTGGGAGTCTTGTGTCGTCACTGGCGATGGTGGAACCGTCTTGCTCGGTGTCAGATCATCACTCACGTCGGTGGTCGAGGCTGAAACAGGGAATATGTTGTTCAGAAAACTATACATAGCACACAAACATTTCTACTGCTGGCTCAGTTTTTGCCTTTCCACATAATGTTTTAGCCTTTCAGTATTATGTATAATTAAATTCTAAATACATATCTTATGAAAGAAGTATTAAATATATATCGTTCAATTTGACTGAGATAATTCTCCATCGAGACCGCATGTCTATGCTTGTCCCTAAATTATTTTTAACAGTTTGAAATCATTCCTTAAGTGGCAGTTTGAAATCCTGTGACCTCAAGTCAGAATCTCCACGGGTATATATACTCCACTCTGTTAAATGGACGGAGAATTAAGGACTGACGTCCCTGTCTGCTGGGTTTTCCCACCTACCCTGTAGATCAGAGTCTTGTGTCGTCACTGGCGCTGGTGGAACCGTGTTGTTCTGGGTCGGGCCAGTCGAGGCTGAAACAGGGAATATTATATTCAGAAAACTATACATGGCACATAAGCATTGTTATTACTACAGGCCCCTTAATAACCTTGCCAAGTTTACTTTCTTTGCTCTGAAAATGAGGAGCAAGCAATTGTCCATTACATAACCTACATATTTTATAGTCACATGTATATTGTACTAGATTTAACTTGCAGAACTTAAACATTGCTACTCGCACTGGTGGCGCGACATCAACATCTTTGTCAAACTATAATTGTAAAATGGGCCTGTGGCCTGATTTACCGAAATAAACTACTACTACTACTGGCCTCAGTTTTCGCTTTCCACAATGTTTTGCCTTTCAATATTATGTGTGGATAAATTCCAAATACATCTATTACAGCAGAAGTATTAAATATATATGGTTTGCTTTGATTGAGATACCTGTTCATCAAGACCCCGTGTCTCTGCAGGAGAGAAAAAGAACATTTCCTACATATATTTTAACAGTTTGATTCAGTAAGTGTAATAAGTTTTGCACTGACTGTGTCCCAGCAGCTGAGATGCTCCTCTTTGTTGAAATGTAGTAACTGAATAGATTGGTATGCTGTTTTGAAATATAGACATGAACAGTGTAACTAAAGGATCTGTTTGCCCTCAGGGTTAGGTTAGGGTTAGGCTAGTGTCAAGCAAATTCTACGGGTACTTTTAGTATAAACATATTTACATTATTACACTGAAAGAAAACAACAGATAAACAAACAAAAACATCTGCATTTATATCTAACTATAATTCCTCATTCTGGAATGACCACCTTTTTTTAGTTTGAATTCATTAACCGTAACTGGAATTTCAAAAATGCCTTTCCTTGATGTCCCCACCCTAGCTGTTTATTTTTGTACATGGTATTTTAGGCAATTCCATAAATTCTAATGTGAAGCAGATTTAAAGTTTAGTGTTCAATGGAGGGTACACTCTCTAATCACAGTGGGCACAAACTTGAAACTAAACAAAATTTGAATCGTTGTCGACAAAAAGTCACACATATCTGAAGAAAGAAATATTCATAAATACAATTTAAGCATCACATATTGATACAAAATACATGAAATAGATGCTACATAGTGAAAGAACAGCAAACGACACGAACCACTGATAATGCGGTTTCGCCTTTTGACTTCCTGTTTGTGCAACACAGTTTAAATTTAGTCACAAAGTGTCAGGCAAACTTTGTCCAGCGCGCAGAAAATGTCAGCATAGCGAACGATGGCGGCAGTGCAATTCTCATACAACTACTGACTGAGGCGGAAACTGCAGCTGACAACAGCCGTACTTGTCGATGGAAGCAATGTGCTTTGATAAACAACAAGGGTACAAACACGTGAAAGTGTGTGGTGGTCAAGATAGACATGTCGCTGTTCGAGTGATTAACATTCTCCGTATGTTTCAATATTAGAAATAACGAGAATAAAGCGTACTTGCCCTTCCATAATTTATTGCTTTTTTAAAAAATGTTGCAGAAATGCATGTGTTCCACATTTAAGGTTTCATTGTTAAAGAAGCAACTCTACAGGTCTTCATTGTAAACCGATTTTAACTGATACGTTTCACCGTGTGCTATATAGCGGGTTGTATTTCAATGCAATGCAACTATTCATTGACGCAGAATAAAAAGAAATGAAATGCAGTGTAAATTAAATATTTGACTGGAAAGATTTAAAACATTCTCATAAAGTCTTCCGTGACAGAGGTAAACGCAATCAGGTCAAAGCATAACGCTAAGAAAGAGCACATCATTTGATCAAATATAACAAGTCTATCAGGTGAAACGCTGCGTTGTTATGTTTACCCAGACCTTCCATCGTCCCCGCAGGTGACAGGCTAAATACAGGTCAGGTGTAAACATTGTGTGAAGCAAGCACTTGGTTCCTACAACATTCATACAGCTTTACAGTAGACGTACAATGTACATTTACACTATTTCATCAAATTTCCTAAATCAGCTAAAAAGTAGAAACTGAGAACTTACCCACCAATAACATCCTAACACGAGCGACTCATCTCACTGCTAGCTATGAAATGCCTTGACTGGCGACACCGCGACCGCAAAGCTGCCAGCTATGACGTCATTGTGACGTGTCAGGTTAGGAGCATGGCAACGTTTGGTGCTCGACTGCTTGGACAGATTAACAACTTTGTATGGAAATATTTGTAATCGTTCCATGTTAGCCCTGCAGTTTTATCAGATCAAAGCAGCATAGTAGAACACATTTCGTGTTACCTGTGGCATGACATGGGCGACAATTGTATTATAAGCATATCGGATGCTTCCCTGGAAAGATTTCCTTCCGTTCCCCCAACCCTAAACCTAACCCTAACCTAAGTTATGGACTTTTAGTCGTTTTGTGATTTCTATAGTAATTGTTGAGTTAGGTTTTGTTAATAATTTTAGCATATATTAATTAATAAATATTATTCGGGATGGGGAAAGGGAGGAACTGTTACCGCCTCCTTAAATTGTAGTAATTCACCGATTGTTTGTATCACAAAACTCCCGATATTTGTTTAAAAATATATATATGCCCCTTTGAAAACACGTCATATGTAGATATCATTCGACGTCAGATGCTTAGATGTAAATAGCTGCGATCATTCTGTGAACGTACTTACATTGAGGTTATAATGAAAGACAAACTGTGTTTTCTGAGCCTGTTGTGCTAAGTGTAGACAGGTATTCCCCAACTCAGTCTAGGTGTGAAATAGATACCGAGATATTTATGTTCAGATACAGTGTCCATAAGTCGTCCGCCTATTCAGAATACCATATGTGAGTATGGGAGACCATTGTATGTATCTGGAAAGTTGGGGGTCAATCAAGTCGGGTATTATAATTTGGGGCTATATAAGGACTGATTTGAAAGTTGGGAGATTGCAACCAATTGCGTGTGTGTGTCAGGTTGGCTGGTTTTCCTGGATATTCAACTGGTGTGAGCATTATAATATTATGTTATGTTGTAGTTAGAATATATGTGAATGAATTGTTTATACAGTCGAGCACCTTTGTGTTGAACAGTGATAACCCGATATCTCGGATGTGTCGACATAACATCTCGGTCCGGCAAAATGCTTCATATTTTATCATTATTCAAGCTCGTTTAACTTGATACGGATGACTCGATATTTCGAATATCTAGATATAATTTCATGGTCCAAACAAGCAAAATTACCCTTTTAACTCGATATTAATAAGAAACTCGGTATTCACCTACCTTTCATGAACAAGTATCCCTATGAACTGAGGTTGTTTCTACATGTTTACACACGGTGTGACATGAGTTGAGTTGAGTTGAGTTGGGCTTTACGTCACATCGGCATTATCCCAGCCATATAGTGACGAGAACAAGTCTGCATTAATATACATTGTAAGTACAAAGTGGTTTCGTTTCAAAGACATACATTCATTACGTTGTCATTTTCGAACAGAGAATGTCATAGCACTAGATTGAAAAGCAGGTACATTCGTTATTGACATTACACAGTTACATTTTATGATATAGATCGACTTCCCTAAGGTGGCGAAGTATCAGATGAGCGCTCACGCTGGAGAACAGATCTTTCAGATTGGTTGCGTGATAATGCGAGTCCCTTGTAGATGTAAAATCCACACAGTCAAGCAGAATATGCTTGACGGTGAGAGCCTCATCGCAGGAGAGACATATGGGGGGGTCCATCCCCATCTGTTTTTAGCAGATAGTCATGTGTGAACCGACTGTGGCCAATACGACATCGTCGTAAAATTACTTCATCACGTCTTGACTGGCAACCCAAGTAGGTATAACCGATTGTTGGCTTCAATTCATGGAGTTTGTTTCTTCCTACTTGAGTGTCCCACCTTTTTTGCATCAAGTCCCGAGTATAGCTTTTGATAGTGGGTTTGAAATCACTGTACGGGATTAGCAGTGGAGATAGGGGCTTTTCAAGAGCTGCTTTTGCTGCAGCATCGGCCTTGGTGTTACCTGCTATGCCGACGTGACCCGGCAACCAGCAGAGGATGATGTCATATTGGCTAGTAGAAAGGTCGTTGTACAGTTCTAATATGTCCAGGATGATTGGGTGACTTGAAGTCACGTTTAGATGTGCTTGAAGGAGGATAATGAATCTGTAAATACGATGAAGTATTTGGACTGATTTTGCTGTTGAATGTAGGTCAGAGCTGAGAAGATAGCTTTGGCTTCAGCGTTGAAAATGGAACTGTTGTCGGGATCCTAGACGAGACAGTCTTGGCTCCACGACTGTAGCGCTGGCAACTTGGCCATCGTCCTTGGATCCGTCTGTGAAGATGGATCTGTGAGTGTTATACTTCGAACGTAACTGATTGTATTCCTGTTGGAACACCAAGGGATTTGTTTCAGACTTTTTGAGTTTGGTGAGGGTAAAATCGACTTGTGGTTTCACCATTTGCCATGGTGGTGAGGACAGAAGTCGGTAAGGCGCAATGATGTTGAGATCAATTTTAGCTGCAGATATGTGTGGTTTGATCCTGATTCCAAGTGGTGGAACCAGGCTTGGCACTTTAGGAAATAAGTTTTCATAGAGCGGGTTGAAAACACAATTGTATGCTGGATTGGACTCATTTGAACGTAATTTAGTGATATACTGCAGTGAGAGTTTAATGCGGTGTTGTTCAAGGGAAGGTTCATTGGCCTCCGCATATAGCCTGTCTACCGGAGAGGTCCTAAAAGCTCCCAGGCAGAGCCTTAGTCCTTGGTGGTGGATAGAGTCTAATTTTTCTAAATTGCTTTTGCAGGCTCCACCGTAGACAATGGAGCCATAATCTAGTTTACTGCGACTAATGATCTGTACAGGTGAAGGAGGGTGGTCTGATCCCCTCCCACTCTGTATTTGAAACTACTTTAGCAAGTCTAAAGCCTTCAGGCACTTTGTTTCAAATATTTTATGTGTGGTAAGAATGTCAGGTGGCGGTCGAATATGAGTCCAAGGAATTTGGCTCTTCTACTACTTTGATGGGAGTACCATCTAAAGTTAGGTCTGGATCCTTGTGTGGTTTGTATTTACGACAAAAGTGAATACAATTCGTTTTGGATTTTGAAAACTTAAAACCATTTTCATTGGCCCATTTTTGGATTTTGTTAAGGCAGAGTTGTAGCTGCCTTTCTATTGCATGCATGTTCTTACCACGACATGAAATATTGAAGTCATCCACGAAAAGGGACCCATCATCGCAACTGTTCAGAACGTTAGTGAGGCTGTTAATTTTGATGCTAAAAAGTGTGACAGACAGGATGCTGCCTTGGGGGACGCCCTGATCTTGGTGGAAATAGTTAGACAGTGTGGAACCCACCCGAACTTGGAATTGTCTGTTATTTAGAAACCGAGATATGCGGTGCGGCATGAATCAAAGAGATGCAGTAGTGTAAACTAATTAGGGCAATTTGAGTTCAAGGTGTCCCTTTGTTTAATTGGGATTAATTAAGAAGGAATTAATTAAGGAAGTACTCACTGTTACGACTAAACACAACTGATAACGGATTATAGTTTCCAATCAAAAGATACTGAGATTTCAATGAGGGGATTGTGCAATCACGTGACTAGCATGTGATTGTTGAGTTGTTTCTAAATTGCGGACTGAGAAATACGGATTAGGAGTCAATGACAGCGACAGTGACATTGATAGTGACGAACCAGCCCCACCCTTGCCAACCCTCGTTGGCTTGCGTCCGAGTGGTTTAACGTTATAATAGTTCATGGCGAAAGTGTGCTTTATTACACTATACATGGTGGTAAAGCAAACTGTATTTCTTTTCTAAGATGCTAAATTTAATACTTTCTAAGAATAATTACGATTAATTTAAGGCAGAAAACAAACTATGGTGTCGGTGACCTAAATTAAGAATCCTCGCACAGGGCTAACTTAAATCCTCGCCACTGCTGTTCTATTGATGTGTCTGCCCCCCTACGTTAAGACGAACGTTACCAGAAAAACAACAAATGATAACAGTTTGATGACGGTTTACGTTCGGATTAAATATCTTCTCTGAATTATTTTAATTACATCTGTCATTAACGTAAACCATAAGGGCAATATGAATGTCGCATTTCTACTACCAACGTAAGTTTAGATCAGTACATCCAGATGAAGCTGAGTAGTCAAGCGACATTCCACGATGGCATTGTGGGAATGTAAACATTGCGAACGTTACCGTGTTGCTGAAAACTTGTAAGTCGTAAAACATAAACGTAATGTTTCCATCAGTGATGTTAGCTGCGTGAAGCAACTGCAAACCAAGAAAGGGGATGCAACAGAGTAGTTTACTGTAGGAGGCCGTACGAGGCGATGACAACTGACATGCATCGTGACGTCGCTTACATTGTGATGTAATGTAAAATGGTTCGATTACGAGGGGGCACACTAGAACGGCGCAGTGACAGGATAACGTCATTCAATTGTTACGTCATCAAAAAACTATACCTTCATTGTCTGATAATGTATTTTTTTCCGATTGTTCTAACCGCTAGGCATCTTATATAGTAATATAATAATCAGTCAGCAGATCACGTGTCGTGTATTGTGGTAGTGTTATGTGTTAAATGCCCTTCCAAGCCCCACGTTGTCCCCTTTTGACATACCCAATAAACTCTATGCAGGTCATGCACCATTGGCATGTCCTGTTAACCTTTTGTTCAGATGCCCATTTCAGTCTCCGCTCAGATACACAATAACCTATATGTACACATACCCAATAAAATATATGTCCAATCAACACTATCTTACATGACCAATAAACAATGTGCTTGAGCAAATAACCCAATATTGACATGTTATGTCAATCCTATGTTGACATGTCCTGTAATGACAGCCTGTGTGTTCACACATTTTATTGGTCAAGAAGCATTTGAAATAAGAGTAGTTTAACACTGTCATATTCGGAAATGAAAGGTCTCCACTAAAAATACAGAAAGTTTACCTCCAACATATTGTTTCAAAGCAGAAGACAAAACTTAGTACGTATGCAGTATGACTGTAAAAACATTGGCTAAATTCAAACGAAATAATCATGTTAATATTCTCATATCTTCCGGTTGGAATGTCAAGAGGGAACGTTAATTAAGCGACTAATCTTTACTAAATCTCTCACCTGCTGTAGTTCCAGGATACGTGGAGGTTCTGGCATCACGCAGGTCAGCTACTGTCTGGTTCACTTGCAGCTGTAATACACGGATGTTCTCTGTAAACTTTCTACGTATTTTTCCGAGACTTTTCCTGCATGTGTCGCTTTCCTGTTCAACACTTCTCAACCTTTGTGCCAGTGCCTTGATTTCTATCTTTGTGTATTGTAGTTTGGTTTTCAAACTTTGAACCTCCTCGAGAACATGCCCGTTGATCATGTTCCCGATGTAATCTTCATTCATGATGTCGGTAAAGGCTTGTTTGACGAGTGGCGTTATTAGGGCAGGGACGACAGTTCTGGTCAGTTCTTCTTTTAGTGACGAATCCAAATCTTTAAAGCGGTCAAAAGTTTTACGCTCAAGATTAACAACTGTACCTTTCCAAGCGATGATATCCATTTCCACCTCTCTCACCCGTTTAGCCAAGGTCCCACGCTTGCGAACAGCCTGCACGTCACTGGCAGCAGTCACCACAAGAATGAGGAATACCAGTGTTGATGGCTCCATTGTTCAATCAAACTGTACAGCACGCAGCTTGGTAGACGACTGCCTCGCCGCCGGGTAAACGGCTTTAATATAGCCCGACTCATGTGTTTGGTACAATGCCAGCTCGGGGAACCACACGCTACACCAGTAGTGTGCGCACACGTGGCGTGATAGCAACGGACATGGCGGATAACTACATGGGATGGATATGCAGTGCAATGTACCCAGCAAACACAATACTGCTCGGTGTATTGTCACTGTTAACGTAACGTCACATATATTGTAACACTTGTTATAGTTGGGATTACGCTCTCTCAGTGACGTACAGATTCTAGTACTTTTGTTGGATTGGTTCCACAGAAGGGTACACAGAGTATATCGACAATTTTCGGTAGTGAGAGTTGCGAAAATGTTCACTTATCAGAGGGGTGCACAAAGTCCGTGGTCTAGAGTACCAGTTGTCCGACTTCCATTTTTGTGGAAGCCGCGCTGGCTGAGTGGGTCAGACGGCTGACTTTGTGTACTGGCGATTAGGTGCCTGACTCTGAGACAAAATAGACATTGGTGCATGTTCCTGTAGTTGCACCCCAAATAAAAGACCTCCCACTTTTACTGTATAATAAATACCAGGTCCTTTATGTATTATTGTACAGGATATACATTCCATGTATTACATTACAGGGGGTTGTAGGGTAGCCAAATGGTTAAACCTTCTACTCTACTGTAAAGTATTTACATTCCATGCATTACACTACAGGGGGCTGTAGGGTAGCCTAATGGTTAACCTTCTACTCTACCGTACTGGATATACATTCCATGTATTACATTACAGGGGCTGTAGGGTAGCCTAATGGTTAAACCTTCTACTCTACTGTACAGGATATACATTACATGCATTACTTTATAGGGGGCGGTAGGAATATTTTTACACGGATGACTCTTGGCAAGAATACAGGTAGGGTTTACCTGACTGGCATCAGACTACATGTATGACGTATAGTGCAGGGGCTTATGTAGCAAAATTGCTTCCGGTGGGAAGTGCATTTTAATTTTTGGAACTACTGATAATTGTAATCAGTATTGCATATGGATTTAGAAAAACTACAACAAAAAAAAACAAATAAAAATATGGTTCCATTTTTTCTGATGATTATAAGTGTCATTCTGGGGTAACTGAACGTCGGTACCCATAATCGAGCTGCAAGACCAATGTGAGAAAACATATTTTTATAAACCTATTACTACATAGGCATGTAGTATGTCAAAATGTACCTTGTGATGGGTGTTTTACAACTACATTTTGTACCATTATATATCAAGAATCTCATTAATATAAGTATGTATAATAATCACTATGATCGTAAGTGCTTCTGCCAAAACAGAAGGTTTGTTGCAGAGGGTATGCATGCAACTGTGTGTGTATGCGTGCGTGCGTGCGTGCGTGCGTGCGTGCGTGTGTGTGTGTGTTGGCATCTTTACTCAAACACTACTAGATGGACAATGAAATTTCTGGATCTCTTGGGTATGTCCCCAGGACCAATCAGTTAGATGTTGAAAAAAGACACTCTTCAAAAAAAGAAACGGAAAAGCAAAATATCTTTGATAAATTTGGTCTTATTCAATTATGTAAATCAATGAAAATAAACGGCACATCATTGAAATTATGTAAAGCAATACATAAGTATCTCAGGCACAATTCACAAGAATGACAGTCATCATAGTCATTCCTGCTGTCGACGAGGTGACGTTGACGTGACTGCCTTGTATGGCCACCTCTTACTGCTAGAACTGCATGACACCTTCTTGACACAGATTGAATCAGTTGTTGGATGTTTCGTTTTTGGAATCCTCCATTCCTGCTGCAGCATGTTGAACAACAGTTACTCAATGGCGGATTACGACGTTGAGTTACACATTTATCTATCTGATCCCACATGTAATCAATTTGTTTCAGATCTGGGGATCTGGAGGGCCAGGGGAGGACATTGATGTTGTTATTCTCCAGGTAGTCCACTGTAGTTTGTGCTGTGTGAGGTACAGCTCCCTTTGGCGGTCAACAAGACGATGCACGTGGGGACAGAGAATCTGGTCGATATATCTCGCAGCCGTAAGATTGCCTTGAGTAGTATATACAATGGGGGTTATTTCCCAAATAAGGCTTTGGTCGGACCCTTAGCTCTTGCTACCATTACCCCTACTATAAAAAAGTTTGGGACGATAGCGGGATACGAACGCCCAATGTTATACCTCACAACCTCGCCGCTTAACAGACTGAGCTACCGGGAACTTGGCTGAAGTATGTCGGTTTAACGGGTCTATCCTGGGATTGCATCATCCAAAGCTGGGCTGCGTCTAACGTGCCGCTATGCCACGTTTACCTCGATGAAACAATTTAATGTGAATCGCCTATGATCTCTTTGGTGTTTGTAATAAAGGCTTGCCGGGCTTTTTGTACTCCCTGTTCTATGTACTTTTTTTCTCGTCTTCGCTGATAGCAGACTTACGAGACTTGGATCGAATCTCTTGTTTCATTTTATTATATTTTGTGAGTTCAGAGAGGATTGAACTAAACTCCTCCTCTGAGATCTTACTGTCAGTGAGTGCCGTGGAAATACGCTCACTTACTGTGTTCAGCTATGCTTCGGCCAGAACCCTGATCTCGTCGTGTTTCAATGCCTTACGATGCAGTCTGCGTGATGCAAACTTAAGCGCCAACCCTAACACCCCTGCCACCCCAGCTGTTATTTCAATACCTAGCACTATAGGTGCAGCCACGATGGTAACTAACAACCCAACACCTGCCGCCCCTAGTCCCATGCTGATTGTCATAAGGGCAGTATCAGCCCCGTCCACGGTATTGAAAGCTCTATGGTACTTCTTACATAGTGCTTTACGCGTGTCGCGGTCTTGCTCTAGTTGGCGTTTTACATCACATAACTGTCTCAAGCGGAACCCGTCTACGGTTTCCAGGGTCTTCGCTACTTCCTCTACGACTGGGTACAGGCCCATCCTATAATATATATTACAAAAGATATTTTAATTGGGTTTCATTTAACCTTTGGTTAATGTACTTAAAGCTGATAATACTTAGATTAATTTGCACGTGAAAAAACGGGGTCTTAGCTCTACTTTCATTAAGAAGACGAACTCCATCAAGGCTTGCTACAGGTCTGTTTCCCGATACCTTAGTAATACGGCAACGTTTGTTATTACACCTGGCTTCCCAACCTATCATCATATCATCCATAATGTGAATATAATTACTAGTCAAACTTATATCTCCGAGATAGACGTCTATGATGAATATGTAGTCTCCCACGAGAGGTAGAAGATACTCTTGGTAAATGCGTAATTTGATCTCTATCTTCACCTTCCCCCTGGACATTAACATGTTACCTGTGTGGTCAACTGATGTTAAGTTGATATCTACACTAGATTCCGGAATGAACGATCCTATAAGTATGCCGTTGTTCTTAATCTCGGAGATCTTGATACTATTTCCTTTAAAGGAGATATAAGGTGTGGTGAGGGTCATGTTGATTAACCATTCAGGCTCTTTAAAATCTGATAATGACACCCGCCTATACACGTTGTCTTTGAAGTACAGGATGTATAAGGTGTCTTCCTCACCAGGCTGATCGAACCCCTCCGTGTCCCCTAGATCGTTAAGCATGGTGTTGGGATGATGACTGGTCATTGTTATAATACTATTACGATATAGTTTCCAACTGGTTTTCTGATAATAGTTCAGGGGTGAACTTCACCCCCATGAAGTGTATGTTGTCAGGTAGGAAGATCTTGGTTAGTGATATCGTGTTTTCCACGATCACGGTGACACCCTGTAGACTGGTGTTGGAGCCGACACCCACCCGCACGTAAACTGTGCAAACGTGATACTGGTGTCGTTTCGCCCACACGAGTTTGATCCCCTTCACGATCTTGACATCATTCCCCGATGGTTCCCCTAGGTAGACTTTGATGATCAGTGTTGAGTTCGGCGGTAGACTCTCCAGGATGTTGACCACGCCTTCGAATTCAGACACCAACTGCAATACCACGTTTTGCATTCCCGGTTTACCCGATAGCATGTGGGCTGCCATACTGGCGACTGGGCTGATGACTACGCTACGTCTCTGAGTCGGGACGTAAGCCACGAGCAGGGTTCCGTTGTTCACGACTTTGTTTAGGTGGTTGTCTTTGTTATCCGTGAACACGTAGGGGGAGCCGAGCCTAATATTGAGAAACCAGTCGTCTTTATCGGGTAATAACACCCACTTGTCATCTTCGGTGAAGACGAGCGTATATGGTTTGTTTCGGGCGACGGTAGTGCTCTCAACATCGTCTAAGTCGAACAGTTTGCCCCCGAACGATGGGTATATTATCCATTTATTATCACCGGTGTTGACTAGGGTGTACTTTGTGTTGACGGCCGCTCTTGAGGTATCTACTATATCACCTAGGGCTCCACCGGAGGGGACTTCAACGCGTTTGTAAATGTTGTTCTTCAGTTGCAAGGCGTACAATTTACCATCTACTCCGGGAGCGTCGAAACCACGTGTGTCCCCAAGGTCGGAGATCCCCACATTGACGCATTTTTTCACCCCGGGCCCTTGTGCGCTGGTCATTTTATGTGCAGCGTTATGCTGAGGTATCCTATATTGACGGGATTATGATTTATATCTAACACCGATATTATCAGCTCAGGTATGTTGCCCTGAGTCAACCTCTTATACTGCCGCGGTGAAAATGACTCGGTTCTACCGTCGTTGTATTTCTCCATTTTAACCGGCACTGCTCTCAGTATAGTGGAAGGGTGACCCCCTTGAATGTTGTACGTTGTGCTCACTTGACCGAGATGAATGTACAGCTCTCGGTACGGTACTAGGTCGGGTAACTTCATGCCTGTGACGGTAGTTGTTGGTTTTATATCGTCAGGTGACATACCGAGTGTCCTCGCCAATGGCCGACTGAGCCTCAAGGAGTTTCTTCCGTTATTGATTAACACCACTGTGCCGTTTGAGTCGTTCATCTTGAGTTCGGCTCCCAGGGGTTTGAAGACCT